TGTGGTGCTTGTTTCTTCTTGTGAGTGTGTATGTATGTGTGTGTTGTTTGTGTTCTCACATGTGGGCCATGTGTTCTCACTGAACCTGGAGCTTACCAGTTGACTCTACTGGTTGCCCAGGGAGCTTCCAGTAGCAGGTGTGGACAGTTGAAAGGGAAGTGCCTGTTCTTCACTGGCTGCCATTGTCTCTGGAGGCCTTACCAGTCAGGGAGATGATCAGATGCATTAAATATACATATGAAAAATGTCAGAATCATACCCGTTATATATAATTAGCCTATGGTAATGAAACACTAAAAATCGATGCATTTTGAGGCCATGTGTGGTGGCACACATACGTAATCCCAGCTCACCAGAGGCTCAGACAGGAAATTCTTAGTTCAAAGCCTTTTCTTTTTAGCTATTTAAGGCCAGCTGAGCTACTTACAAGACCTAGTTTCAAAATCATAATCAGGCTGGGAATAGAGCCCAGTAGTGGATTCCTCATACTGTATAAGCGCTGCTCTAATGGCCAGTATTGTGTCCAAGGGACTGATGGAAGGCTCTGCGGAGTACCAGGAAAGACTAGAAATGGCGAAGAATTACTTCCAGCTCTCCATACACCGGCCAGAAAGGTAAGTTATAGCTAGGACCCACTACACAGGAAGGAAGGCTGCTGGTGGATAGTTCTTTTTAACTAGTCTATTTTATAAAAGTATCATGACTGTATGTATGTGTAATGTGTGTGTGGCTATAGACACAAACTTGCCACTGGGTATCAAACTCAGATCATCAGGCTTCCATGGGCATCTTGCCTGCCATAAGTAAGATTTTTGTTGTTGCTATGAAAATAACTTGAGCCACCATGACTGGCCTTTTAAACGGTTATAAAATAAACTCCTGTCTCCTTGCAGACCTGTTCTCGAATCCCAAGGCTTAGACACCCTTTTTTTCATTTATTTAGACTTCCTTCATTTTATGTCTGTGAGTATTTTGCCTGAATGTGTTTTTGTGTACCATGTTTGCTCCTGATGCCTTCAGGGGTTAGCAGAGGGCATCAGAGCTCTGGAACTGGAGTCACAATGGTTGTGAGCTGTCATGTGAGTGCTGGGAAGCAAGTCAAATGCTCTGCAAGAGCTAAGTGCTCCTAACCATCAAGCAATCTCTCCGGTCCTTAGACATTTTTATGCATTTATTATGTATAGTATTTGCCTGCACACTAGAAGAGGGCATCAGATCTCACTACATACAGGTTGTTGTGAGCCACCATGTGGTTGCTGGGAACTGAACTCAGGACCTCTGGAAGAGCTGTCAATGCTCTTAACCTCTGAGCCATTCCTCCAGCCCCATCCTTAGAGCTGTTTAAAAATAATAACATGACTTTTTGTCTTTAGTTTGAGACAGGGTCTTCTGTAGCCCAGGCTGGCCTTGAGTTTGTTGTGTAGCTGAGGTTAAACTTGAACTTCTGATCTTCTACCTCTGCCTCCCAAGGCAAGTGCTACCCTGCCAGCCAGTGTCATAATCTTTTTTTTTTTTTTTTTGAGACAGGGTTTCTTTGTATAGTTTTGGAGCCTGTCCTGGAACTAGCTCTTGGACACTAGGCTTGCCTCATACTCAGAGATCCGCCTGCCTCTGCCTTCCGAGTGCTGGGATTAAAGGCGTGCGCCACCACTGCCCGGCTCAGTGTCATAATGTTTTATTAGCACCACTAGCATCCTCGTTGTCCTTGGTCCAGTCTCTAGCTTCTGTTGATTACCCATGCCCTGCACCCTTCTTCCTTGCTGTTCCTCCACACCCTTATTTCTTCAACTGTGTCTATACCTAAACTTGGTTCCCAACCTCTAATAACTTTTTCACTTCAACCATTAGAGCCAGGAAAATATACCTCTGATTGTGCTAACCTCCCATCTCTTAAAATTTATTGGAGATTACAACAGTGAAAATGTGCATGTATCTTAAGTATCCACCCAAAAGAGATAAATGAATTGCCATGTATTTTTTTTCAGATTTTTTTTTAAGTAACAGAAAAAATTGTGCATGTGTTTCGTGTATAATGTGGTCATTTTTTGTTTGTTTGTTTTTGTTTTTCGAGTCAGAATTTCTCTGTGTAGCCTTGTCTGTCCTGGTACTTGCTCTGTGTAGCTCAGGCTGGCATCAAACTCACAGAGATCCACCTGCCTCTGCCTCCTGAAGGGCTGGGATTTCCAAGGTGTGCGCCACCACTGCCTGACTCAATGTGGTGTTTTAAAATATATATCCACTGCAGAATGGTCAAATCTAAGTAAAATGTGTATTACCTCATGTACACTTGATGATGCACTAACACTGCACTGTGAGTGGCGAACACTTGGTGCATGTGTGCCATAGCACACTTGTGGAACCTAAAGACAACTTGCAGGGGTCGGTTTTCTCCTTCCACCGTGCAGGTCCTGACAGTCAAACTCGGGTCATCTGGCTTGATCCATGTTTCAGGTCCCATCTCTTCTTTAAAAAAATAAAAAACATAGCTGGGCGGTGGTGGCGCACGCCTTTAACCCCAGCACTGGGGGGGGGGGGGGGGGGGGCGGCGGATCTCTGTGAGTTCAAGGCCAGCCTGGTCTACAAGAGCTAGTTCCAGGACAGGCTCCAAAGCTTGAGAGAAACCCTGTCTCGAAAAACCAAAAACCAAAATCTTGTCCACACCCTAATAAAAGTAATTAATTGCCATCTTCCATGTTTCTTTAGCATTTGCTGTTCTAAAATGCTGGTTTTTGCCATCTTTTTAAAATCACTTTTAGGGTTTTGTTTGTTTAGGGTTTGGTTGATTCTCAGTAATTTTTTTTTAGTCCATGCCTGCCTCAACCTTCGGCATAGTTGAGATGCTTTTGAAGTCCTAACCTTCCTGCCTCCACCTTTAAGTGCTGGGATTTCAGACGTCCCTGCCACACCCACCTGTGTTTTGCTGTATATTATTATTTTCTTGCCCAGTCATGTTTGCATAACATGGGGAAGGGATAATTTATTACTTATGTGATTTTTTCAAAGTATCCAGTTGTTTACTAAATTTGGTTCCATCAGTGTGGAGAATAAGTCATGTCACCATCATAAAGAATGCTTGTGCTTTCATTGTTTATAGTTCACTTGCTATGAGTCCTGGTGAGGAAATCTTAACCGTGTTGCAGACACTGCCGTTTGATGTTGAGGAGCTCAGAAAAGAAGGCACTGATCTTCCTCCTGAGGATGGTGAGTGATGGGCCAGGAGCAGAGCAGGAAGCAAAGAACGGAGGGCTGTCCTGTGTCATGGCTCACCTGCTTTCTTTTCCAGACGAGCAGTGGTTAGTCCTCTCGCCAGACCAGCTGGACCAGCTGCTGCAAGATGCAGCAGGCAGAAAAGAATCACAGCCCAGTTCCCAGAAGGAGGAGGAGCAGAACTATGACGTAGTGCAGGTCTCAGACAGCGTGAAGGCCTTCATCTCCAAAGTCTCAACCCACAAAGGGGCAGAGCTGCCCAGGTAGCTATGCTAAAGCAGAAAGTCAAAAAGGGGAAATGTAGTGGCATTTCAACTGTATTTTAATAAAGACTGCCTGAAGATCTGAGAGTAAGCCAGTCCCACTGGTCAGCCTTATAGACCAGATTATGGTAACGCACACCTTTAATCCCAGTAGCCATAATGACATGCACCTTTAATCCCCATAGCCACACTAGTTGCCATAGAATCTGGGCGGAGCATGCTTTTAATGATGGTGGTGCACACCTTTAATCCCAGCCCTAGAAAGGAATATAAGATGGGGGGTGGTTTGGGGCAGGGGAGACAGCTCTCAGACACAGTCTCATTGTGAGATTCCTGGAGGCAGGATCGCCATTTCGGACTGACGTCGAGGTAAGAGCCAGTGACTGGCTGCTTTGCTTTTTAGATCTTCAGGTTGAACCCCAATTTCTGACCCTGAGTTATTAATTATGCTTCAAGAAAGTATCATTTCCACATTTTTGAGCAAGTTTCCGTCCTGATTTACTTACTCTTTTGGTGCTGCATATAGTGCGTCTTCTTTATCTGAGGTCAGATTTCAAGTAGCCTTTATAATTCCTGAAGTAAGCCAGAGAACTTGTGGCTTTAGCAGTCACCAATCAGAATCGCAGCACCTTTACTTTACTCTTTGGTTTATTAGTTTGTTTTCTTGAGATGGGGGTCTCTCTACAGAGCCCTGGCTGCCCTGGAACTCACCATATAGATCAGGCTAGTCTTGAAATTACAGCTGTGTGCCTACCTCTGCCTCCAGAGTGTTAAAGATGTGAGCTCCCATGCCTGGCTTCTATAGACTCTTCTTCAGAACCCGTAGACTCTATCGCTTGTAGCTCTCAACAGGCTCAAGCTTCTGATCTCTTACCTCACAAGTGGACTGAAATCTTGAAACTCAAAGAGAGGGCTTAAAGGAACTCATCATAGGCAGAAAGAATCACAGAACTGTGAAGCTGTTTGTGGCAAGTAACTGGGGAAAAGTAGGTAGAATTGTTACCTGAACAGCAAATACCTCTTTTCTTTTTGGCTGAAATAGAATTGGCCCAGAGGCCATGCACACCACTGGCCCAGAGGCCATGCACACCACTGACCCAGAGCCTGTGCACACCACTGGCCCAGAGGCCATACACACCACTGTCCCAGAGGCCGTGCACACCACTGGCCCAGAGGCCATGCACACCACTGTCCCAGAGGCCATGCATGCCACTGTCCCAGAGGCCATGCACACCACTGTCCCAGAGGCCATGCACACCACTGTCCCAGGGACTGTGCACACCACTGTCCCCCGAGGCCATGCACGCCATTGTTCCGGAGGCTGTGCATACCATTGGCCCAGGGACTGTGCACACTAAGAAGTGCACCTTGCTGAACTTCTTCCCCTGGCCAGTGAAACCTTGTGAGTGTTACTATTCCTGAACTGTAAGAAAAGATACAGATCATGCACATTATTTGTTGTTAAGAGGGAAAGAATAAGGGAAAGTGCAATTTGTTAAACTTTGATTTTTGTTATTGCTGTTTTCTTACCTTAAATTCACTTGAAATCACGATCATCTTGACTACACCTCCCATGTGCTGGGGCTAAAGACATAAACTTGGCGTCCTATAAGAATAAGCGTTATAAGTGAACTCAGATAAATCATGCTTTTCCCATGTGTCTTGTGGGGAGTAAAGAGCAGATAGGTTACCAAATGCATATGCTTAAATGTAAGATAACAAGGTGTAATTTTTGCTTTTCTGTGACCAGATTTTTGTGTTTCTCTTGTCACTCAAACAAGCATAAGGATTTTTTCTTATTGATTTAAACGACGATTACTCTAGGTGTTCCTTTCTTGAATATTTCTGGTAGTTTCTCTTAAGTGTAGCACCATCTTAGAACATGTTTCAGAGAACTGTGGTCAGGATAAATTATGTGGCCTTTTCCTTTTTATCTTTCAGAGACCCTTCTGAAACTCCAATCACTTTTGATGAAGATTCTTTTCTTAATTATTTTGATAAGATTTTAGGTGAGTTACAGTGTGGTGTTTACTTTTATTTTGAAACTGTGAAGATGTATCACTGCTGTTAGAGCACTGGGACATTAGGTCACTTATGAATCAAAATACTACTTTCTTTTGATGGTTTTGAGTTTTTAACCATAAATTACTGCCTGGTTGAATCACTTTACAGAGGCGACCTATTAGTGCTTGACTTGCTAGCTGCTAACTGACTGAGTGCACAAACATTTTATGTTTTGAAAGGATTTTAATTGGCTTCCATGTTTCGTTTTTTGTCTTTTCTTTCACATTGACTATTTTAGAAATCAATAAGAAAATAAGAGAAAATACAGAGGGCTGGGGAGAGAGCTCAGTCAGTAAAGTGTTTGCTGCATAGGAGTGTGAGGACCTGAGTTCAGATCTCTGCGCTAACTTAAAAAGCTAGGCACAGATCTTTCTGTGCCTCTCAGAAATGAAGGGACAGAAATAGATAGGCAGATCCCTGGCGCTTGCTGGGGAGTCCAGGTTCAGTGGTGAGACAAGGTGAAGAGTGGCAGAAGACCATGCATACACATTGGGACATGCTGTGTGCACATCACACAACAAAACCCAGGGTTTGAACAGCCTGTGCACTGAAGAGTAACCAGTTCATCTTTGAAAATAGTTAACTCTTCCTAGTAAGCAAGCAAATGTAAAATAAAAGCATGATTTTTTTTCTTACCTTATTGAAAAAATTAATCAGCTATTTTAAAGGGTTGGAGAAATGAACACCATCACCTTTGTGGGGAGAGGTAAGTCTAAGTTGTCTTTCTAAAAACATTTTGAGAATCTAGGAAGCCCATTATTTTTGACTTAGCCATTTCACTTGAGGGATTTATTCTGTGAAAGTGATAAACGGTCACTGATGGTCATTTCGGTGCTTTTTTTTCTTTTTTGTAGCAACAAAATTCTAATGACCAAGAGAAAAATGGGTAAATAAAGCACTGTATTGTGAATTTGCACCACCATAATAAAGTATGAGGTCATCTGCATAGTTTGTAAGAAGGCCTACAAGACACAGTATGTAGAAAAGCAGACTGCACTTCACTGTGAGCACATCTGGGTTAAGAAAGAAAACCCTGGGGTGGCTTGTTGGTCTTTGAGGGGACTGGAATTTGGTTCTCAGCACCCATGTCAGGCAGCTCATAACCTCCAGCTCTAGGGGATCTGATGCCCTCTTCTGGCCCATGGGCATATATATCTACACACACAAATGAAAATCTTATGAAAGAAATGTCTGTATTTGCATGTGCCTGTGCACAGACCTGTATTACATTTGACATCTGGACTCCATCCAACTGTTCAGAGATGTCTCAGAGAGTAGCTGAATGTTGACATCAATGTATATTTATGTCATTTTCTAATTTTAAATTTAAAAAATATACCTGTAATTTAAACATTTATATATGAGTATTTTGCTTATGAACTTATGTGCATCATGTGTGTGCCTGGCTCCTGAGGAGGCCAGAGAGGGTGTTGGATATCCTGGAGTTCCAGATGGTTGTAAGCTGCCTGGTGGGTGCTGAGAGTCAAAATCAGATTCTCAGCAAGACAACAAGTGCTCTTAACCTCTGAGCCACCTTTCCAGCTTCCATATTTTTGATCTGATTTTTACGGTGCTGGAGATCAAACCCAGGACCTCATATGTGGTAGGCATGTTCTCTACTACTAAGCTCAGTTTTTAAATACTTTCAACTCAGTTTTTATTTTTTTTAAAGATTTATTTATTATGTATAGTGTTTTGCCTGTATGTCTGCCTGCAGGCCAGAAGAGGACACCAGATCATATTATAGAAATTGAACTCAGGACCTCTGGAAGAGTAGCCAGTGCTCTTAACTGCTGAGCCATTTCCCCCGCCTCCTCAACCCAGTTTCTAAATAGAAAATATTATTATTATTATTAGTGTGTGTGCATTATAGGTGTGGGGTGGTGTATGTATAACAGCACATGATGTCAAGGTCAGGCAGAGGATAACTTTGATGAATAGTTTTCTCCTTCTTCCTTAAGGGATCTAATTTAGATCACCAGGTTACACAGCAAACACCTATCCTTGAGAACCATCTCAACAGCCCAATGTTTTATTTTATTTGTTTATTTATTTTGGTTTTTTCAAGACAGGGTTTCTCTGTGTCACAGCCTTGACTGTCCTGGAACTCACTCTGTTAGACCAGGCTGGCCTTCAACTCACAGAGACCCACCTGCCTCTGTTTCCCCGAGTGCTGGGATTAAAGGTGTGCACCACCACTGTCTGGCTTCATCTTTTTTTAAAAAAATACTTTCAATTAATCAAATTCACTTTAAAAAACTAGTGGAATCTTTTGGCTCAGCCTTTTCATGGTTCTGTAAATGTCTCCCTGAATCATCATTTTGGGAAAGGGTATTACAAAGTAGTTGGGTTAACTCATTTGGTCCTTGTGGAACATTCCAATCCTTTGAGAGATGTAACCTCTTTTTTTTTTTTTTTGATTTATTTATTTTTATTTATATGCATTGGTTTTTTGTGAGGGTGTCAGATCCCCTAGAGGTAGAGGTATAGGCAGCTGTAAGCTGCCATGTGGGTGCTGGGAATTGAACCCAGGTCCTCTGGAAGAACCACCAGTGCTCTTAACCACTGAGCCATCTCTCCAGTCCTGAGAGATGTAATCTTGCTCAAAAATTTTTACCAAGTTGCCGGGCAGTGGTTGCGCATACCTTTAATCCCAGCACTTGGGAGGCAGAGGCAGGTGGATGTCTGTGAGTTCGAGGCCAGCCTGGTCTACAAGAGCTAGCTCCAGGACAGGCTCCAAAGCTACAGAGAAACCCTGTCTCGAAAAACAAAAAACAAACAAAAAATTTTTTTTTTTTTAATTAAGTAGTTCTTTCTGTGTCTCGGTCAATATAGGAACAAAACCTCAAGAGTCAGAGTCAGACCCTGATGATCTGGATGAAGATGACTTCGGATGTTTAGACAGTGATGATGACTTGGACTTTGAAACTGAGGACTCTGAGTCTCTGAAAGGAGCTCTTGGCAGTCTCAAGTCCTATATGGCCCAGATGGACCAGGAACTGGCGCACACCAGCATGGGCAGAAGCTTCAGTACCCGGAAGCAAGAAGTAAGTGTTTTTAACCTCTTCTTCTCCATGTGTAGGAGAGTGACAGTCATATTTAATCTGAGTTTTTCTTTCTTTTCTTTTGATTTGTGAGGTTTGAAATAAATGAGTGCTAATTTTATTGCTGGCTGATTGATTTTAAGAATTGACCCCAGGGACTGGGGTACATGCAGTCCATCACTAAGCTATATTCTCAACCCCAAGAATGCTAGTTTTCCCCTAACTTGAAGTTTATAATCTGCCTTTTCCTTTTAGTGGTGAGGGCTCAAATAGAGGCTTTGTGCTGTCGGTGCCTGCTCTACCACTGAACTGCCGCCTCTTTCAGAGTCTCAGGATTTTACAAATGACCTTCCCTTCTCAGCCTCTTTTGTAGCTATGAATTATATGTTCATGCCACTGTGCCTGGCCCCTATAATCTTTGATTTTATACCAATGTGCAAGTACCAATGAGTTAACCCAACTACTTTGCAAAAGTCCTACACTATGTAAGGGCTGAGGTGAGACGAGAGCATTGAGTCTCTTAGAGCAAGCAGTCACGGTTTACAGGTGTTCGCAGGACTCCTGGCTCTCTACTTGGGTGTTGTCACTGTAACTCACCGTCACGATGGCACAGAGATGCTCTGAGCTGCTGGACCATCCATCCAGCCCCCAGAGTTAAATTCTTTATGCTATGAATTTTCAGGATTTAAAGTAAAGAATCATTATGTACTCAAATTAGCGTGTGATTATTAATACTACTGCCATTTTTTTCTTTTCCTTTTCCTTCGTGTGTTGTGCTTGGAAGGTATATGGAGTGAGTAGATTTTTGAGATAGAGCCTCACTTTGTAGTCCAAGCTGACCTCAAAGTTGAGCTGGAATTGCAGGCATGGGCAACTGGGTCTAGCAATATGTAGATTTTTTTCTTTTTTTAAGAGAGAAGAGGGGCTGGAGTATTGAATCAGTAGGTAAAGGTGCCTCTTCTTAAGCCTGACAGCCTAGGTTCAATCCACACTGTAGGAGAGAACCAACTCCCCAGAATTGACCTCTGAGTACCTATACACATATCAAACACACACACATAGACACACACACTCAAAATCAACCTTTAAAAAATGTAAAGGGAACCGGGCAGTGGTGGCAGGTGGATCTCTGTGAGTTCAAGGCTAGCCTGGTCTACAGAGCAAGTTCCAGGACAGTCAAGGCTACACAGAGAAACCCTGTCTCGAAAAACAAACAAACAGAAATGTAAAGAAAGCTAAGAGGAGCTTAAGTATCTAAGAAAAAAATAACTTCAATCTTAATTGTTTCCTGTCTTCCTAGTTTAGCTTCAAATTTAGAATTCTTCTCCCAGTCTCATAGTCATCTTAGTGTTTTTGACCACACTGTTTAGCCAGCAAGAGGCATTATGGGAAGAGCACAGACATTAGAGCGATGTGAATCAGGGTTTGAAATACTGCTGGCATCTACTGTGCACTGTCTAACCAGCCAGTGACCCTCGTGTCTAGAATCAGTATGAAA